CGATTTTGAAAATAATCGTTAGCTGCAGCTCTAGTATATAAATGTATCCAACATGACCCTGTCTTTTAAAATTTACCCAAAAATGTTATATTATATTTTCATTTTGGTGTATTTTAGCCTAAAAATACTGGTTTTGATGACATTTGCACAAATACCGTGTGACAAAAAATTGTGATTGCCTTTTTTTAATTCTACAGGGCCTCTGCTTTCAGCAAATGTATAATTGCTCGGGGGTTTTAAGCTGTTTTCTAGCCCAAAATTCTGACTTTGATCATGTGTGTGCAAATAGTAAAATTGCTCTGGACAGCAAGTGGTTAAAAGTGTCAAATAAGGAATGTGGTTAAATGACAATACTCAAATTTAAATTCTTGTTCTTAAACTGTACATTTCTAGTGCCGGCTTTTGTTCTGCTTCAGCAATGTGGCAATGCAGCGTATTTGTTTTAATTTTTTCCTTTTGACAGTGACTAATGAGAATTATTTATTATTTCTCCTTTTGTGTACGTGCTTGTGAGCAGGTAAACGGTCAGAATTGTTTCAGTATAGTGTTGATTACATGCAGCAGCAGTTCCTTGTACACAAGTGCATCTGAGCATGTCTCCATGGATTAAATTGTGGAGAACTGTATCTATGACCGATGACAATTGCTTGCCTGCTCTATGACTTTCTGTAACGCGTCTTGTTGTATTGGCATGCTTTTTTCTAATATGTTGTTTTTTTTTTTTTTATAGGTTTGCCAGCTTGTGACATCATGGAAATGAAAGGTAAATTATTCAGCAATTACTTTTTGGGATGGTACTCTTGTGTCCCTCGAGCTACACCACTTTGGTATGGCACACCCACTGTTGCAACAGATACATTTCTGAGGTTGTCTTCTTTCTCCGTGCTGATTATCTTCTAGCACCTCCACTTTTATAAATTCCACCTCTTAAGTGTCAGAATCTTGTCACTGTTTACTTTAGTAACCAGAGGGCTGAAGCGAATCTCTTGAATTTCAATATAAATGGATCAAAACACATTTGTTAAGATAGGCATGAATGCATAATGACACGTGTTGCACTTCACGATGATGGTTGTTGACATGCAATACAAAGTGTATTGCAATGTGCATTAACAATGCACATTAACGTGCATAGACGCATATTAATGTGCGTTGGTGCTTTTCTATTGATTATTAATGGGAAAACATGGGGGGGGGGGCAGGGGATGTTATTGCTCTGAATTTGTGCCGACTAGGGATGCATTGATACCGTTTTTTTGGTATCGAGTATAAGTAACGATCTTTCTTTATCCCCATACCGGATGTTCCATTAAGCAAGCAGGACGGCGTGTAATGACTCACTGCCTGACTTCCCGATTACCCGGGAAGCTGTCTCCATGCTCCCTTGTCACCTGGGGATAAATTTCTGGCCAATCAGGAAGCCGGGGGCAAGTCATTACCAGCCCCCCCGGCTTCCTGATTGGCTGGAAAGCCAGCTCCCTGCTGACGAGGGAGCATGAAGCTGGCTTCCTAGCCAATCGGGAAGCCGGGCAGTGTGTACTGACTCGCCTTCATTCATTTGCAAGGGAGAAAGCTGACATTTACAGGAGCCTGCCGACCTTTCCCAACAAACTGAGCAAACAGCCACAGACCCAGTGAGGACATCACTGGGTCTGAAAACTGGCATTGATTGAAAATCTTTAATTGAGGAGTTCATCGTTCGGGTTTTCATACACATTAACTGATATATAAACTGAGCAGTGTAAAATGATAATTACGCTGCTCTATTTGAATATTGGGTAAAGGCCACACTTCAGGAAACTAGTAGACTGCATACAGGAAAATTTAGTGTTTTATAACAAATGTTTTACAAGGGTTATATATTTACAAAATGGATTTAGAGGCAATGTCACCTTTTTGGAAAACTATAAATGCACAATTCTTCCTAAAAGAATAAATGTGCATTTTTTTTTTTTTTTGCATATGAAACCTTTGCAGCCATGATCAGTGGATTGCTGTTACTCCTGCAGACTTTTCCTCCCATCCATGCCTGTATTGATGTGTCGACAATCAGTAATATGGATGGGACCAAGTGTGAATGAACTACAAGTGTGGTAACGTGCTTGTTTTCCATTGACTATTTAAAGTCCTGCGGTGGCTGATGGGACTTGTTTCTCCATTCGCAGATCCTGTCAAAGGATCTGTGAATTGATGATGCAGCTGTGTGGGTGGAGCTATGCCCAGCCGTGCTGAATTAAAAAAGGTAAACAATCCTGTGAGGAGTAGATCCCTGAGATTTGGGTTTGTGGAGGGGCAGGAGAGGGGTCTGCGATCTGACCATGTTTCATGTTATACCCTAAATATGGGTGTAACATGAAACAAGGCCAGAAGGGTAAACTAAATTGTCAGGAACATTTAACACTAAAGTAGAAACATTGCATACCAATTAGTCTCTAGTAGAATTATACTGCAAAAGTAGATTGTTAAGCAGGAAACACTTTTTTGTTTTACTAGCCTAAATATATTGGTTTTGTCAGCTTTACACTCAGTTCAGTTATTTTCTGCAATTTTAATTTTTTATTTTTTGTAAGTGTATTTTAGTACATGATCATAAATGAAGAAATGGTTGCGGCTTGGTTTTACGAAGTTTAAAATCGCTTTCTTCTTATGTCGGGTTTAGATGGAAAACCTGGATATGATCAAAATGCAGGGCCAAATATTCAGGGTGTTATGGGTCCACCTGCAGGATATCCCAATCCAAATCAACCTCAAGGATATTACCCTCCTGGGCCAGGCATGCCCTCTCCATATGGATATCAACAGCCTCCCCCAGGTGCATACCAAGGTAGGTGTTTCTACACTGAGTGGCCAGATTATTATGACCACCTGACGCTTGTAGGCAAATTAGCTATAATTTTGCACTGAAGTTGCTAGAGGGCCAGACCTTTTATAAATAGGGAAGCAGGTTGTTTACCATGACAGTAGAAGTAGTTTTTTTTTTTTCCTGAAGATATGGGTAAACAATGCAAGTTAACAGCCTTTGAACTTGGGATGATTGTTGGCGCTCGGAGCCATGGAGCGAGTATCAACAAAACAGCAGAATTCGTAAAATGTTCAAGAGCAGATGTTAAAGTGTTTAAAGACTGGACTGTCAGCCGAAAATCTGAGTCTGAACGTGCGAATTGTGGCCGTCAGCGACTAGTCAATGTTAGGGCAGAACGGAGAGTGGCAGGACTGGTACAAGACAACAGAAGGTGCAACAGTGCAGTGTCAGATTCCTCACATCACCTTTCAACATCTCGTGGAGTCACGAGGTGGCCCAACAAAGTCATCTCGTGGAGTCATCTCGTGGCCCAACGAAATACTGATGGGGTGGTCATAATAATCTGTCCCCGCAGTGTATATGCAACTATATTTAGGAAATGGTCTGAAGGACTTGAAGCTTTTGCCGACATGATGCACTGAAAAAAGAATATTGTCTTAGCCTGGATGTTACTGCTTAACTGCTCCAAGGCTCCAGGCATACAACCTAGCTAGGTGTTTCATTCATTGATCTTTGTGGGAATAGGGGAGCAAAATGTTTAATTCTGCACTATAATTGACAAGTTTCAGTCACAATCTCTGCAATCTTTTGTGAAATCACTTTATAGATTTATTTTGTTTTCATTATTTGAGGAACTCAGTGTGAAATGATGGAATGGGAAAATATGATTTAAAATAAACACAGATCCTTGTTGGTGGGGGGCACATGACCACTTCACTGGGATGTGTTTTTTTTTGTATATGGTTTAGTATAAAGTGCTTCATTTACCATTGTCCTTCAGATGATGAGCAAGCAGTCTGCCCCTGTCTAGCAGCATATGTTACTCTTGGCAGCAGAGACTACTCTCTTTTGGTACTGTACTAAGGGCAATCTTTTGGTCTTCAGTGGGTGCCTCTTGCTGGTGGCCATGAGTGGTTTGCTTACCAACCAGATGCATGTAGAATAAAGGATCAGCACACCAGTCTGCATTGCTCTAGGGACTGATTGTTAGGTTAAGCATTCCTACTAGTGTGGTTTTTGTTTTATTCTAGTCTTATTTTTGTTGTAGTTAAAGGGCAGCTTTAGTCTCCTTTCTTTCTTTCTTTCTTTCTTTCTTTCTTTCTTTCTTTCTTTCTTTCTTTCTTTCTTTCTTTCTTTCTTTCTTTCAAAAAACAAGAACTCAAACAGCTCAGAATTATGTCAGTTGCTTGCTACATTTTAGTGTTAAGTTTTAAGTACAGTTAAAAATTACTGCCCAGTAACCTATTGTATGATCCTATTTCCTTTCCCAAATTGAAGCAATTTCCTGCTTACTTTGCTCAGTGCTAGCGTGCTTTTTACTTTTAAATGCTTTTAAGGTGGCCATTCCTAGCATAACAAATCCAATTAGTCTCTTTTTTTTTTTTTTTACTTCAGTGTATTAAGAAATGTAAATTTGCTCCAGTCCTGAATAGCAAACACATGTTTACAAGCAAGTTTTTTTCCCATCGCTGTACAATGCTTATGGAGGACTTATGGTAACTGTAGAGAACATTCCAAGACCACATCTGTGGTTGTGCTATAGTAATCATATCTATTTGGACTGAGATAATGCTGTGCTTTTACAGGCTAATGCCTGTTATTGATCAAACTAATCTAATTAGTAGCTAACCTTTTCCCTGAAAAATGAACACTTTTTTTTTTTTTCTAATAATATGCCTGTGTAAAATAACTTGACATGTATAATTTGTGGTGCCATTGCCTCTCTGTTCTCCCAATAGGGAATTCTTGAGCAGCCTTATTCAATGTATTCCTAATCTGTTTTAGGTTAGTTTGTTAAGAAACCTGGTAATAGCTAAATTTAACAATTTGGTAGTCAATATATTTGTAACTATATGCTTTTCATTTTAACATGTCCTCCAGGTCAGCCTAACTATGGAGGCCCTCCTATACAGAATCAGCCAATAGGGCCAGGTGGCCCATCTGCATGGATGCCGGCACCTCCAGCAAACCCAAACTGCCCACCAGGGTTAGAATATTTGAGCACGGTAAGAGGTTCTATTTCCACATGTCATTCAGTGTTCCTTATGGAAGGCTCCTTTTTATTATGTTTTCATGTAACAGTTTCCTTATACAGTTTGCAATAATTTTTCCATAGACCCTTTTATGAATGGGGAAAGCATGAGAAATGGGATATTTCATGTGCATAACATTCCATACATAGAGGCATCTCGTTTAGTTTTGCTGTCAGCCTCCTACTGAAAATTTTAAGCCTGATCATGAATTCTGCCACATGTCTACACCTAGGGCATGTATGTAGTGCACTAGAATATGTTTAATGTCCTTGCCACTGAACAAAAAATGTGGTCTCTTGGTTCACAAAATGATGGTCATAACCATATTGGGTCAATTAAATCACCCAGGATACGCAACCCCTTTGTTTACAAACTGAAGTCGGCATGTCCAGTATCTGCCACTGCTAAATAGCAAATCCCCATCCGCTTTTTGTGAACACAGAATGTCACTATTGTACAAAGGAGAACATCATACTGCATCCCCAACTCCATGTGCGGATTTGTGCATTTTAAATGTTGCCATTTTAAGCTGCTTTAAAAGATGCTCTCCCTGCTGAACAGTATAATAAAATACCCATGTCCCCACTTTAAGAAAGGCTTGCAGATTGTCCTTCAAAAAAAAAAAAGGCCATAAATAACTTTTTAGACTTCAGTGGGGTTGATGCTGTATTTGGGTATGGTGGAATTTCCTGGGTTTGCTGAACCTCCTGCAAACTGAATTTTGCCTGATTTTGCTCATCCCTAGTCCTGACCCTTTACCGTTCCACCAAATGCATCGCTTAACAGATAAAAACATCTTGGCTATGAGATCTTAGAAGGGTCTCTGTCAGTATTGCCTTCTTAATGCTCACAAAGTCTTCAAGTTGAGTTCAGTCCTTCTTGCCTTGTAAGGTTGTATATAATTCATTACTTTTTTTTGTTTTTTTTGTTTCCAGATAGATCAAGTACTTATCCATCAGCAAGTAGAGCTACTAGAAGGTATGCTACATTAACCTTTAATGGATTTATACTAGTGTGAGCGAACCATTATACTTTGAGAGCGTTTTCATCCTGTACTATTCCAAAACAAACATTAAGGTATTGGGAGTAGGGATGAGCTCGGGGTCTGACCACACCTGGTCTGAACCTGAGCTCCTTTGAACAAGAAGGTACCCTAAGCACTTCCGCCCAATCGGCGCTGGGCATTCCCCACCCCACAGCTCCATGTGGATAAAAGGGCAGGGTGTCTGTGTGCAATTGTAATTTACCGAATATGGTCACATATTAGGTAAATGTATATGGTCACATATTGGGTAAATGCCATACTGGGTAAATGTAATTTATTAAATATGGGCATACAGCCATATGAGGTCAGTGATTTCACTGCATCCCGCCTCTTTGCTTACATCAAGATGGGCATGTTTTATAGGCTCATTTAAGGGTCTCATTTAATTATTCAGCACGGGCTACTTTTGTAGAAATGCTTTAAACCAGAACAACCAATGTGCAGCCAATTAATGTTTCATAGGCCCAAAGATCTAGCACACTTATTTGGATATCATTTTTTTTTCTTTCTGTGTTTGAAAAAAAGATTTTTCTGTTGCTGGTTATTAGTTGGTAACATGGAATAAAGGTCATTAAAAGCCTCGATGCCCAGACCAAATTTAGCAGCATTGTTTTATTTTCACCTAAGATCATACATTTCTTATTGACTTGAACAAATGTGTAATGCTGGGCACACACCTTACAACCATCGCAAGACTTTTGTCTTGCGATGGTTGTAAGGTAATGGAAAAAAAAAAACAATCTGCCTATCTTGGACAGGCAGATCGTACTTGCAATGATCGCAGGACTGCCCCGCTGAGGGGCGGGCTTCTGATGACCGCAATGCTGAATGGGCAGTGTGCGCTTGCGCACACCGTCCCGTGCGGCATTTATCTTATGAACATGCCACACACCCACCGACAATCGTATGTTTCTCAGCGGGTTTTCGAACGTGTTCCTAAGATAAAAGACGTGCAGCCTTACAGTAGCAGAGGTCGCACACCTTCCACACACCTTGCGATAATCGTGCGATAGCGGGATTTCCCGCGATTATTGTACGATTATCGCAATCTGTGTGGGCACCTTAACATTGTGTTTAAAAATTAACTCTGGGCAGAAGAAAACTGCAAGGGTTAGGTGCGTTTTTTTTTTTTTTGTCTAGGGTTTAAAATAACAAATATGTTCACCAGTTCCTGCAGTCTGTCCCCCCTTTGCTTCAGCGATGTGATGACTTTTGTGTCCAAAAAGTGAGTGAAGGGGGACAGAGGGTGCAGGGACCAGTCTCACAGCCAGGCAGGTCAGAGCACTGGGTAAGTACATGTTTGTTTATTTTTAGACCCTATACGAAAATAAGCACTTACCCCTTGCAATGCGGGGGTTAGCTCCACTGCATGGGTTGTACTTTCTTCTGCGTGGAGTTGTAAGCAGCAGCGGCAGGTAATGGGATACAAATCATTGCACATCTTACGTGTTGGGTGCTGTAGTTAAAAAAAACAAAACTAAACTTCAGGTTTGATTTGGTGAACCTAAATGCTTTCATTCAGATCCAAAAATTCCACATGGAATCCACCAGGTTTGTAATAGTCTCTCCCTGATTGGTTCCTATTTTTCCAGCACATCAGTAATTGCTTTACTCCCCAGAAACGAAATATGTGCCATTTGCCTTCTGCCAGTCTTTAGAACCCAATGTGTTCACCAAGGTTCTAGGCCCTGTGCTTGCACTGTTATGCTCCCAGGACATCCCCATTGTGAGATCTGATCAAGCTCCTTTTGAGCAGCCAGCACAATTCCTAGCCGGCAGTGTGGCGTGGACATTTCTGACCTTGAAAGGGTTCGATTGCATCCAGAACTTTCAGAAGTCCATGCTGGAGTCATAATGCTTGAAATATCTGTGTCTTATCCTAACCACAGCTCAAACCCAGAGTTTTTCGTCTTCCTTTCATACTTCAATTTCATTCACTTCCAGACTTGGGCTTTTCAGCCCAGGAGTCGTTCAGCTCTTTACTTCTGCGTGAGTCATGGGGCTGATGGTAGCCTCCTTTTGAGGCAGTTTACTCAGTTCCGCTCAAGATCTCTACAGCGCAACATCCTGTCATTATGGGACAAATCAGTTCAGTCTTTGGACAAACTGATTTGCCTGACACATATGATCAGGTTGTCTCAAGCCTGGTCGCTTAGGAGCCCAGCTCTGAAGTTCCCTTTAATTTCATGTGTCTTCTGTGGAAGTGAAGAGAATTTACCCTAGGAGGGTGTTAACGCCTTCTACTCTAAACTTAAAATAAATAAAGTTTTGGCTATATATACACATTAAAGACTTAGTCCATCCTAAATTTAATTTTGTCACATTGATTTTGTTTTCCATTCTTTCTGTCCCAGAGTCAAGGCAGGAAGTGAAATTAAATTATTTTTTAGGAGTTAGATATACCGTCATCCTGATGTTCTAGTGATTTTTATCTTTTCCTTTCTATACCAGTGACATTGGTCTTCAGTACAAATGGAGAGGGCAATTCTACCCAGCCAAGTATATGACAGTAAAATTTCACAGGTTTTCTTACCCTTCTAGTTTCAAATAAAAAAAAAAAACGGGAAGAGAATGACATAAGACATACCTAAGTGAATGTGGACAGGTTGTACGTATAGGGGAACTCGTCATTGCTGTTGCAATGATGAGTAAAAAAGTTCAACCCTTGAAATGTATCAAAGTTGATAACCCAGCAGTAAATAGCCTTGAATGTGTAACTTAAGTGTTCGATCTGCCTGTCGGAATTCTGAAAGGGTGCAAAAAGCCGATGGATAATTGTTTGCCAGCATCTACCCAAAACTAAAATATATTACAGGTTGGCTGGTCCTTTTTTTTGCTATTTTTTTTTATTGGTCATATCACTGTAGCAATCCTATGTCTGGCGAGAACTCCGTAGTGAGGGAATGAGGGTAACGGTACTCTATATGCAAGTACAGTTGCAGTATTTTTTGGAAATGCGAGAAATCCTAACCTGTCCACATTAATTTCAAAGCAAAGAAAAAAATATTGCAGTTGGGTATGGGCTAGTTTTGTTTGCATATCTTTTCTCCTAGCACTGCCATAGTTTTCACATTTACCATAACCCTTTTTATTAGTTCAAGATTGGATTTATGATTTTTTTCAGATGCATGACAAAACCTTTAAACATTATTTTCAGCTTTGATTGGCTATGAATCCAACAACAAGTATGAGATTAAGAATAGCATGGGCCAGAAAGTGTACTTTGCTGCTGAACAAAATGATTGTTGTACCCGGAATTTCTGTGGACCTGCCCGGTCTTTTGTCATAACCATTGTTGATAACATGGGTCGTGAAGTAATCAGACTGTCAAGACCATACAGATGTTCTGCATGCTGTTTTCCCTGCTGTCTACAGAAGGTAAAAAAAGATGCATTAAATTGTGTTAGTTGTGTAGGACTGCGGAATGACATCTGTAATAAAAGACCATATCTTCAATGCCTGCTCCTTTTTTATTTTCAATATGATGCATCCCCTTTAAGTGTAGTAATATACAGATAACCCTCAAATTACGCCAGGGTTAGCTTCCAGAAGGAATGGTTGCAAATGGAAACCAATGTAAATTGAAACCCTGTATATAATGTGTCAATGGGAAGTGACATACTATATTTAAAGCTTTGAAATTAATGTTATGAATGCTCCAAGGGTACCCTTTGCCCCTAGCGTGGCTCTGTGCCTCCATATTTCCAAATTAACTTCTTTGTGCCCCCATATTTCCTAGTGTACCCCTGTGCTCCTCTGTATCTCCAATTGTAACCATGTGCTCTTCTGTAGCTCCATGTGCCTGTGTACATCTCAATGTGTATCCCTGTGCCACCAGCGCATCAACCATGTGTGAAACACCATACCTACAAGTGTCCCTCTGTAGGTGTCCAGTTCTTTGAGCCCCTTCCTGAGCCACAATCCTCCACCTATTCCCCTTATCTAGCTGCCAGAGACTCTGCACAGTACTGTGCTTTTGTATTATAACCACCTGCAATTGTACTGTACAGTGTTTCCCTGCATATCCTTAAGGCTACACTAGGTGACGCTGTTTTAATGGCGGTCACATAACCAACTGAAAAGGGCTCTATTTTGAATCTGCTTAAACGAAACCGGCACAAAACGAGGGCTACCTGTACTGTATACTGGCTGTGTCGTTTTTTTTTTTAGACTTGTTTTGTCAATAATTGATGTCTTTAGGCATCACATAACTCTCCTATCCTGTTTGTAGCTACTTGATCAGATGAGGCTGCCATTTGATATCCGTCAATGATTCTCATGCCACCTTTTTTAAATGTAAATATTGAGCATGAATGGCATTTAACGTGAATTTGGTTTCATTCAGTAAATGTTAGTGTTTTTTAAGTTCAGGTTTTATGGTAAATTTAAACCTTGTGATTAGTCTTTATTAGGTTAAAAATCTTATAAATGTGTTTTTTACACAAATGTACTGTAGTTACAAGTGGAGTCTCCCCCTGGAACAACAATTGGCTATGTGAAACAGAACTGGCATCCGTGTTTACCGAAATTTACCATTCAGAATGAAAAGAAGGAAAATATTATGAAGATTCATGGACCTTGTGTGCCCTGTAGCTGCTGCTCTGATGTTAACTTTGAGGTATGAATTTGCGTGGACAGTGTTAGTAAAGATTTCCGTTTGCTGTGATCAGATCATTGAAAGAGGTCTGATTTGGATACTGTGAGTTATTGCATTTTGCCATGTTGCATAACGTTATGCTTTTGTGAACCAAAAGGATTTTTCTACAGTGGTCTATGTTGTACGCCTTGTATGTGTGGATTTGATTTTTGTAGAGGAGATCCATTCTCCATGTAATCTTTTTGGTTTCTCCTACAGTTGAAGTCCTTGGATGAAAGCTCTGTACTTGGGAAGATTTCCAAGCAGTGGACTGGAATGGTGAAAGAAATGTTTACAGATGCCGACAACTTCGGAGTTCAGTTCCCTATGGATCTAGATGTAAAAATGAAAGCGGTTGTTCTTGGTGCCTGCTTTCTCATTGTAAGTGCCTTCTTTATGGTATCTGCACTGTTAACTAAGCTAGAGGCAAAGCTAGATATAGACATGACATGTCATATAGATAAGGCATACTTCCATAGGGTCAGTCCCCTGAACAACTTCACCCATTGTAGTATACAAATTTAGTAATGACTAATGATGACATGCTGGATTTATATTATATTGTATTAGGGCTAGGATAAGCATGCAGTACAAAGTCAAGCTTTTTATGACTTGATTGGGGTTGTAAAGACACTCTTAGAATATTGGCCCTGAAGCCTGAACATTTTAAAGACTCCTGCAATGGTGGCTCTCATATTATTCTCACGGGTTTTCTTTGCTCTTTATGAAGATGGTGATTTATCACCCTGATTTACCACTTGTTAAAAGGGTCTCTGCATTATTGGTGATGGCTGGCTTCGGGTTTCATATTTACTAAATTCCCAGTAACTGAACATGCTATGTGGAGAGGGGGGAGGGGCTAGCTTATATTTGTTGGGGGCTAGCTTATATTTGTTGCAAGGCAACCCTAAAAAGGTTTCTGAAATGGTTATCAGATTTTTACTCTATTAAAAATGCAGCGCAAAAACTTTACTAGACATCCGCATTACATAGTGTTGCAATGATTTATAACCTCTTGCATAATGCTAGTCACCAGTGACAAAGCTCAGTCCTTCCAGTCGCTGTCACAATAGCTCCTATAGCAGGAGAAAAAGTTTAGAAAAAAAACCTGTGCATCCTCTCAGAAATCCACTGATGTCCTGCACACTTTGCAGTGTTATCATAAGCAATCTAATCAGGAAGTGTTAGGATTACAGAACACCACCGCTGTGGTATGGCGTTCAGGTTGGGTGGGATATTTTGTAGTTCTACCACACTTCCTGTGCTAGGTGACAACACTGCTCCTCAGTGAGCTTGTCACCCTAGGACGGAGTCCTGAAAAAATAAAATGAATGTAGCCACTTCATCTAAGAATTGATAAGCTGCAATGTACACATTTTTTGCTCATGGGTTTGTGTTTTATTTTTAAAATCTAAACTGTTGCTGCAACAACTGTGCTTGTGACCCTCTTAGTGTGTGCCAACCCAACGGTCGATTTGATATTCAAAGACCTATATAAATTGTATACAGGTAGCCCTCAATTTACGCTGGGGTTAGGTTCCTGAGGGAATGGTTGTAAATAGAAACTGGTGTCAATTGAAACCCAGTATATAATGTAAGTCAATAGGAAACGAGGGAGTTGTGTTCCAGACCTTTTTCAAAATTGACATAAGTAATGAAATACAGGTACATTATATTTAACTCTGATACATCAGCTCACACAAGGAGCTTTAAATAAAATGTACCTGTATTATGTTATGCCAGGATCCCATCCTGAAAAAAGTAATTTCAGGGAGGTGCCCTTTCTCATTTCTGGGTGGTGCCCTCGAGCAACATCCCCACCAGCTTCTGCTGTCGGAATAGAAAAAAAAACACAGCATAGGAATGAATAGTTAGATTGCTATTAGCTATTTCAATTTGCAGTAGCCAACAGCAGTCTAGCTATTGCACCCGCCCCCTGGTGCTGTCAATTAGCAGAAGAGAACCGGATTAAGAACTTCAGGTACATCTCTGCTAACGACGGCAGCAGCAGTGGGCGGGTGCAATAGCTAGTTGGCTATTGCAAATTGAAATAGCCAATAGAAGCCTAACTATTCCTGTTTTTTGTTTTGGATTTATATCGCTTTACATAGTTGCACATTCACATGAGTCCCTGCCCTCAAGGAGCTCACAATCTAAGGTCCCCCATCTCTCATACATACAGGGACAATATAGACAGGAGCCAATTAACCTTCCAGCATGTCTTTGCAGTGTGGGAGGAAACGGAGTACCTGGAGGAAACCCACATAAGCACAGGGAGAACATGCAACTCCTTGCAGATAGTGACCTGGCCAGGAATCGAACCAGGGACCCCCAGTGCTGCAAGGCAGAAGCACTAACCACTAACTTCCTCGCTTTCCACTGACTTTTTTTATTTACAGAGTTTCAGTTTACACCAGTTTCTTCTTTAGAACCATTCCTTGTTTTGAGAGATACCTGGAACCTAACTCCCTCACTTCCCATTGACATTGGTTTAAATTTACAACACTCCCAGAAAAGGGTGCCATTTTGAATCCGTGCAAATTGAACCCTTGTAAGCTGAGGGACACCTGTTCATGAAAATGGATAATGTATACAGTGTATTAAAACCAACTATATGATGAATCAAACCGTGTGCTTGGTTATGTTGCATCATTATGTAACTATATTGCCATCTGCTGGTTACTTGTAGTAGCAACAGTGCGTGTGTGTGTCTTCTAGGAGTAAAGATAAGAAATACTCACCTGATCCTCTGCCCTGCAGCAGTGCCCACTCGCCTCTTTCCCCCCTTCCCTCCTGTTGTGATCTGTCTCTTGGTGATGTCACATCTAATAGACGTATTAAGCTGGCCACACATTGTTCTATTTATGTCACTGTACCCACAAACTGAAAAAATAGAACAGATTCCTTTTATCAACGCTTACAAGTGTTTGATGGATGAATCCCTTGCTGCTTCCTTTGTATCCTGAGAGCAGCCACTCTCAGAATACAGACTGGCTGCAAGCAACGTTCATTCAAAGATTTTTCAGCCGGCTCCTTTAATCTTCTAATTGAGGGATGCCGGCCAGAAGGGTGTCGACAGCATCACCCAGTATATAAATTTCAGCTGGTTCTTGAAGAACCCGATGAAACTCGCATGGTGTAAGACCAGCTTTAGACATGATGACATCACTGGTCCTTAGACCATCAGAGCCCAAGGGAGAAGAGGCTGTGGGGACTGGCCTACCAACCAGATGGGAATAAGGATTGGCTGAGTATTTCTTTAGTTTTGCCCCTAGAGAAAAAAGCAGTTAACACCTACACTACCACAGTTAATTTTTTAAAACTTGTTCTTTAACCTCCCTGGCAGCCTGTTTTTTTTTGTTTTTTTTTAAACATTTTTCACTTTTTTGAATTTCCTGCCGGTTCCGCCCCCCCTGCGACGCCGGCACTCGCAGGGAAGGAACCCGGAAGACTGATGCCGGCATCGGCCGGAGGACACAGTGGGGCTCGTAGGGACAAGGTAAGTGACGCTACAGTGTATTCCTGAGTGTGGCTTGGGGTTACTGCTTTTGGTACTGAAATTTAACCCCAAGCCACACTCGGGATTACCGCCAGGACTACTAACCTTGACTGCTTTGACAAAGATTATATCATTATTGATCTACAAGTGTATCTGGTCACTAAATATGCTCCTAAATACTGATTTATTTATTTATATATGAAACTGTCTCAAGGCTTTTTTTTTTTTTTGTCTCTCCTGCAGGATTTCATGTTTTTTGAACACTCTGAATAACAAATAGAATTCAGGCAAAGGAACCTATGTCAAAGGAGCATCAAGAGCACCAGCCTGTTTCAGGATTCATCTTGGTCTTGTAACTTTTTAGATTTAAAAAAAAAAAATCCATGTTTTCTAGCCTGTTAGATTTTACAAAAGCCATTTTTTTTTCTGTTCAGTATATTTGTGGAGATTTGTTGGGTTTTTAACTACTTTTAGCAAAGTATTTTTGCATTTCTGTGAAGTTGCTGTTCAAGGTGCTACAGTGACTTGTCTACCATACATAGTATATAGTTTTATTATTTTTAATTTTAATTTTATTTTGGTTATATTGCTCTGAACCATTTCCATTGCACACATCAGGGCACTTTCATTATATTGCTACCTTTTCTGTGACCTTGTAAAGGAAACCTGGGACTAGTGATTTGGTTTATTCTACATTTCATTAGCATAGGGATAGATATATATATATATTAGGGTGATGTCTCCTTTTTATCACCCAGTGATAAGTGCTATTTTAGGATTTCATTTCACATTTTCTTTATTTTGCTGTATAGACATTTTAACATGCAAGTGCTTCTTACCTTCCCACTACTGACCTATGCTAAAAAAAACTATCTACCTCCATATAAAACCGTGACTATAGTTAGTGTTAAGTGTTAGAGGCTAAGTATTGGTAAAGATTTGTAGATCCCACTGTCTTGAAATTGTTGTGCCAAAATCAATATACATATTATAGGATATATACATATCCTTGTAGGTGTTTATATTAACCATCTTTGCATTTAAAATATTATTTTAGTAGTTTGGTTAATAGAGCCAATAGAAGGTTTAGCATTACTACCAGCAAGGAACAGCTCTAAAGCTAGCTGCAGAACTCGCTACAATCACATTTTTCAGGTATGTAATAAGAGGACCACCTGCACTGGACAGCTGATAAACTATGAACCATGCTTATCAGTTTTACAACGATATGGTTGTATTGTCTGCTATTTGGAGTGACTTACTTTGAGTACATACTGTATAGGAGCCTGTTTTATCCTTTGCATACATTGAAGAGCAGCTGTACAAACTGCCTAATGAATTGGGGTAGTGTATTTACTTCTCAGTCTTGGAGCAGAATGTATATCCATGTGGATTATACTAATTGAAAGCCAATGCAGCTTGCTCGACGTTTGTGTGATGTGAAATTAGACTCCTGTCACCTCTGAATACTTCTGGTCACGCACAATCTTTAAACTGTATGTATTTATTTTAAGTAGCACTCCTAGATTGTGAAGAGTTTAGGCGGGTATTGTGGGAGAAGCATTACCTGAATCCTTTGCATCAAGCTCCACCAGGGGCTGTGGATGTAAGGAAAAAGTAGTTATTCCCGCTGTTCCTCTTTTATTGGAGCAGCAAGGAACGTAAGTTCCAATTTTTCCATTTCCTATATGTAAAGTGTAAGTCTATGGTCTGATAAATAATTGTAAATTTGGTATAAAACTATTCTAGCCTCTTCAGTAGCTTAAATGACATCTGCAGTCTAAATGGATTCTTCACATCGTAGTAGGTCTATGATGTTGACATAAGATTTTTATATGTTCTTTATACCTGAATGTCAAAGAAATGTTGCCTTATGTGTTTATTTCTTTTATATTGTCTCTAAAAGGAAGTCTGTTTTCAAACTCTGAAATGCTACATACCTAAGCAATGCTCATAATACCTATTTGTTGCAATCATCATCTAAAGACCTTCTACAACTAACATTATATAAGACTAAGATTTGTGAAGGAACTGACAGCCATGAACTGTGATGTTATCTTCTAGTATAAAACAGAAGTCTAAAAAAGTTGGCCTTACACCGTACATGTACATAAAGTAAAATCTAAGGAAAAGGTGCAAAATATGGTCAGTTTGAGATATGCCCTACTGTGCTTAGAGCTGGCCATACACATAGATTATGTACAGATTTTCTATGGTCATATAAAAAAGTGCAACGGATTCCTCAATCTACGCTAAACTGTGTGGATGGAGGAATCTCACACTGGGCCAAGCTTCAGCATCTTGCAAGTCAGTCCTGCTGGCTGTCAAAATACCTGAACAATCTGATTAGCTGCAGGTATTGTTCAGGTATTTTGAGACCCAGCGGGACCGACTAAGCGAGATACTGAAGCTTGGCCCAGTGGGAGATTCCTCCATCCACACAGTTTAGCGTAGATGGAGGAATCCATTGCACTTTTTCCATTTGACCATAGAAAATCTGCAAATACTCTGTGTATGGCCAGCTTTGAGCACAGTAGGGCATATCTCAAACATGTGACCATATTTTGCACTTTATCCTTTTTAGATTTTACTTCTTCTTTTTTTTTTTTTTTTTTTTTATGTACAAGGGGACGTTTGTTAAATCTATACAAACTGTTGCTGTCTTCAACCCCAATTCCAAAAAAGTTTTGTTGCTGTGTAAAATCTACATAACAAAATGCAATGATTTGCAAATCTCATAAACTCATATCAAAGTATATTGGAAGCCCATTCATTTTGAATGGGCTGTCTTACTGTAACAGAAGTTACTGTATGTCACTGCAGCACAAATTGAGAATAGGTATTTTGAGGCTATCCTTTTGATGGGCAACCTATGTAATTGCCAATCCAGGCATCACCTGTGGGGAGAAAAACAAAAATCAAAAAAAATTCGGGAAGTTTTGGGGTAACCGCATGCCTTGAGATGAGAAACCCAGCTTTGGTGTATTCTTTGAATTTTTTTCTTCTGGGTCCATTTTGTTGCTGAATAAGCAGTCTGACATTAAAGCAGACTGCAGGCCTTACACATTAAACTGAAACGAGGCCCCATCTTTTCTCCAGTTGGTAAAGGCTTATACCTCTTTGCCTATCTGGACAGTTTTTTTTTTTGCTGGTTTTGCAGTTTTCTATTCAGTAAATCATCCAACAGTGCTTTATTGTGTAAGTGCCTAGACCATAAACCTCAAAGTGTCTTTCAATGACTGTAATAAATGTAAGTGTAAATGTTTTATGTAATTCTCCACTGTTTACTAAAGGCTGATTTGTTGTAGAATTGTAAAACTCCTATACAAGTTTTCTATTTTGTACAAATGTTATAAATAAAATACCTATATCCCTCCTTTTTATTGAGTTCCTATTTTATGGTGTTTTCGTCTGCAGAACTGGGTTCTTAAAACAGTAGATTGTGTGAACAAAAACACAAGGGGGAATTTATCAATGGTTTTGCATCAGCATCTCTCAAACTGTAGTATCCCTTATTTATAGTTAATATAGCAACAGTTATTATTTTAGTTTATATTTAATTCTGAAGTGCCTGCATAAGGTGAATTTGCCTCAACTATTTTTCTGTCTCTAAACTGTCGCAAGCTTGCTGGGAACCTCCTGGATGACAGCTGAATAGTCTGAGGTGCTCAGATGACTTGAGGGTAAGAGTCATCTTTGCTATAGTTTAACTGCCTCCGGGCCGGCCGTAGTAGAAAAACGGCCGGCCAGGACCTTCCTCGATCTGAGCACATGAGACTTCTAGGATGTGCGTCTGTTAGTCTTTTACTGTCGCAAATGCTGAGCACAAATACTGCACAGTTCAAATATTATAGAAAATTTCAAAAAACATGTGCAGTGAGTCGCAAACATTAATATTTCACAAGAACACTCAAAGGCACAGAACTGAGATAAAACTCTGTTTTAACATAACAATTTTTAGGCACAAAGACCAACATTTGTCACAAACACGTTCATAAATTCCCCCAAGATGTTTTGCTGTATTTTAAACTTAGTTCCCATAACACAGTATATATCAGTTCCCATAACACAGTATATATCAAGAATGTACAGAACAGCACTAGGGCCAGCCTTGAAGAAACCTGTACTAAGAGAAATGTGGAGGCTGACTATGCACAATGCCTGGCCGTGTTTGACTTTCATACCAAGACGCTGACCTAAAATAAGCATGCATAATGGAAACTCCTACTCTGCATACATGTTCTCGGTAAGTTAATGAGAGAATACTGAAATCAATAGATCAACATGATGAGAGCTAGTATTTATAAAAGATCAGCATCGACAGCCTTCAAATTTCGGTAATTGTTCGATTAATGGTTTGGAAACTATTCAGTGTCCTTAAGATAAAAATGTTGAAAGTTATTTTGTGTATTGCTCTAAGACATGAATTATTCAGAGTGATACACTACAAAATGAATATTTTTCTAAAGCCAGCATAATTATGATGGCATAAATCTGAAGGCTGTAATTTCCGTAACTAGGGATGCACAGATACCGAGTATTTGGATGAGTACTCGCCCAAATACTCCGATATCTAGTCAGATACCCAAACTTCCAGTATCAGGAAGCAAGGCAGCGAGTCATTACACACTGACTGGCTTCCTGATTGGCTTCCTGATTGGCAGGGAAATCGGCTACATGCTCCCTCGTCACTTGGAGCATGGCCAATCGGGAAGCCAGGCGCTGTGTAATGACATCGCTGCCCGGCTTCCTGATTGGCCAGCTTCTCGACCATCAGGAAGCCAGCTGGGGAGTTATTCCCCACCCCTGGCTTCCTGATTGGCCAGAAAGCCAGCTCCATGCTTCCTCGTTACCTGGTGATGAGGAAGCATGGAGACTGCTTCCCTGCTAATTGGTAGTGATGAGCTCCAGCGTGTTCGCAAGCGCCTCGTGTCCGAGCCCGCCAGGAAGCCGTCAGCGCGCAGGGCCAATCACGGGCACTGAGCCATTTTCCGATCTCTGCAGCTGCGGACCGGGAACATGTCTCCGTGCCTGTGATTGGCCCTGAGCGCTGACGACTTCCTGGCGGGCTCGGCACGAGGCGCTTGCGAACACGCCCGAGCTCATCACTACTAATTGGGAAGCTGGGTGACAAGTCTTTGCATGCCTCCCGGCTAATCGGGGAGGCATGCAAAGGTGGCAAGTCGTTACTGCCTCAATGGGACTTCCAGTATTGGTATTCGGGATCGGCGAGCACCAAAAAAAAATATCAGTACTTGATACCGAAAAACCGGTATCGG